CTATCACTCACACACACACACACACACACACACACACACACACACACACACACACACACACACACATTTATTTTCTGATATTTTACATATATGCTAAATGTACTGTATGTTCAGTACAAGCTCAACGAAATATATTTTTAACCTTCATATACCAAAATGTATTTCAAAATGTATTTCAGAGGCACGAAAGTACATTTCAATATTTTCAGATGTGTTACTTGTTATTGTGTTATAGACATGTGTTATAGACAACAAATAAAGTTTTTCTTTAAATGTGACGTAAACATTTTCTCAGATTGAAGGGGAAAAAATATTTTTAAATGCTTTAAAAAAAAAATATATATATATATATATATTTATATTTTTGTTAATTTATTTTCAAAAAATATACAAAAGATGATTGAAAATATATTGGTAGAAAATATATTTACATAAAACATTCTGAAACATATTTTAGCAAATATATACATAGTTTTGGCCATTTTTTTTAATATTTTGAAATACATTTAAAATGTAATTAAAAATACATTATTTTGCAGAAAAGAAAATGCACAAACGCAGTTTCATGTACAGTAGCGAACAGCTCATTGCATCTACTTTACCCAAACAAACATGTAAAACATGCTTTCATCCCTGCTGGGATTGCAAAGCTACTGCTCGTCAGAGGCAAATAATGGTGCAAACTATTTAGAAGGACATATCGGTCCAACAAAGCACAAAACATTAGCCAAAGGAGTGAGTGAACAAAATTAACTAAATGAAACACTTTACAATAATGCCTTTATAATTAGACTAATATTAGTTAATGCATTAGGTATCATGAACTGACAATGTTTAATTTATACATGAGCTAATACATTTTTAACATTTATTATTAAGTTGTATAAATTGTACATTTATACATAGATTCATGATTCCTAATGCATTAAATAACACATTATTTAATGCTAATAATTTCAGTTTTACCATTATAATTGTTCACTTTTTGAAAAGCACAATATGGTCACCCTACTATAAGTGCCTTATTTAACTTATTAGAATGAATGAAGTGAATGAAGCACCTGTGAGAGTCAAACATAATGAATGAGAAAGAATCAATAGACAGTGGCTGCCCGAGAGACTGACTAACATGCAGAAAAGTCTGGACTTAGCCATCACCAGCAGACCACAGACTTTGTAAGTATGGGAACTGGGATGCGGTCAGTCTTAAACTACAGGAATCACACAGGACTCTCTACCCACAATGCATTTGTTAGGACGTACAGTGGAGGCTGGTGGTGGAGGCCGAGCTGCTTCTGTAGGGATGAGTGCTGGTTTGGCTGGAGCCTCTTCCTCTTCGTCCTCCTCCTCCTCCTCCTCCTCCTCAGGGGTCTCGGGCGGGGGTGGAGGCGGGGCCAGGTCAGGACACTGCCCAATCTCTGCGTTCTCAAAGGCCACGGGCTGAGAGAAATCCATGGGCCTGTTTCATTGACAGAAACGAGACACAACACACAGCCGCTCTTGAGGGAACGATGACACAACGTGACTCCAATCAGGTGAATAATGAACACGCTTATGAGCAAGGACAGACTCATTTAAATGAGTCTGGTAGAGGGCAATGGGGTTCGCTCTAGTGGAAAAGACGCACAGCCCACTGGCAGAGATTCATACTCCTCATTAGAGCAAGACAAACTGTGATTATTAATGTCATAAAACGTTTAGCTTATGACTGCACCTCAAAACTGTACTGGAAGGAAAACAAGACCTTTAATCTACAGCCACGGGAGGCTGGAAAAAATGGGTCAATGTTTACACCAGTCGCTGGTGTGTACGAGTCACTATAGCACAGTCCAGTCGTGACATATTGCGGTGAATTGTGCTCTGGAGGTCGGTACATTTATCATGGGCTGTTAAAGGTGACCTCGAAAAGCTTGGAAGGCTTGCTAACGTCTTTGCCTTGCTATTATCTGAATAACAGAAAGCTGTGACGTGCCAACATTACTGATAAGTCTGGTGCTAAGACAGAACAACAAGCTAGTTTTACCAAACAAAAGGAATGCCAAACTAATGCCTGAATTTACACATCTCAGCTTTTGAAACCATTTTGTCATTCTATATCTAACACCTAAAAATAAAGGCTCTCATTACAACCAAAAATGGGTTTAAAGTCTGTTGCCATTGAATCCTGAGCAACTGATGGTGCACACAAAACCAGCCCAACTGCTAATCAAAACAAGCCCAAAACTAGCCCAATTATATTATTTTCTGCGACTACCCCCTGCATCGAAATCACATCCCAGAGTAAAAAACCACAGACCTGGCAACACTGATGGGGCAGTTATTAGGAACTGTAGCAATATGTGGTTTAAAGTTATAGTTCATCCAAAAATGAAAATGCAAACCTGTATGACTTACTTTCTTCTGTGGAACATAAAGAAAGATATTTTAAAGAATGTTTCAACAACAAAAAACACTGTATCGGACAAAAAATATCAAAGTATCTCATCATATGTACATGTTTCATTTTGGGTGAATTGTCTCTTCTCTTAACTTTCCTCAATAGAAACGTCACCTTCATTAGTTTATCTTATCACCTTCATTAGTTTTTATCTTTTTCACAAAACTATTAAACTATTAAGCATTAACTTGCATCAAGCCATTCAAAGGTGCAGTGTGTAATATTGACAGCTAGAGGCTGAAATGGGTACTGCAGTTCATATGCAAAATATTATTCCTCTTCAGACTCAACTCTCATGCGGGTTGCCAGACTGGGGACACCCAACAGGAACCAGCGCAATTGACAATGGAAGATGCCAAGCCTTGCACTGTAAGCTGAGGAGTTGATTTTTCCGCGTTTTAATGTCTTTGGTTACAGAGTTTTTTTCGATGGATGCCGATGCTTTTTAGGTCGGGTAGAATCTGTTATCTCTGACCCAGTTTATATGTTCACTTCCATGTCTACAATACGCTGTCTTTTTCATCAACTGGCAACCCGGGGTGTCAAAATACTACTGGGTAAACTGGCAGAGGGTGGAGTCACACAGACCAAAACATTAGCAGACAAAATTACATACAGCACCTTTAACTCAACCAAAAACATGTATTTTTAATAGAGATGTGAGGTCAGGATGGATGGATGATGAGTTTGGACATACACTGTGTTGATGAGAAGGTTCCAGATGCAGCCCTCAAACGGCACGTTGGGCCGCTGTACACCTGTTTCTATGTCCGCCGGGATGCCTCCGATGAAGAGCCGATGGATGCTCAGAGGATGATCGTTGGGTAATGGCTGCTGGAAGAGTGGTTCTTCATCCACCTGCACAGTGAATAATCTGCACACGCACATGTTCCATTAGTTTCAAAGAGGCTTGAAAAACAAGACGAGAGAAAGAGAGAGAGAGAGAGAGAGAGGGTGGTCTTACGCTCCCGAGAGTCTCTGGATGCGCAATGAGTGCTCTCTCCCATCATGCAGTATTCCCTTATCCGCTTTTCTGAAAGCTCTGCGTGGACTCTTGCTGCCTGTGAACACCAGCACCTCCAGAGCCCCTTTATTCAGCTGCACAGACAGGAAGGGCTGCAGACACACAGACAGATGGGATGAGGCTTAGACAGCGAACTTGTGTAATAAAAGATCAGTGGAAATCACTATTACTAATCACTTTTGTTACTAGTCACTATTGTACGCAGTGTTAGCGATCTAAACAATCCCACAACTCAAACTAATGAACGTCCATGTTTAATGAATCTGGCATCTGGTTTGTGCTCCAGACATGAATCATTTTCTTCAATTCATGTGTTGCACTGTCAGCAATGTCCTAGCAACCAACAGATTACCTTAGCAACACCATATAACAAACTACCTACTACATACCAACATGATAAAAAACACCCTTCGAAACACTATAGCAACCATATAGCAACAACCTAGCAACCAGATATAACACCCTAGCAACCACTTACAACAAACCACTCACTGCACACCACCATGATAAAAAAAACACTCAGAACACTACAGCAACTGCATAGCAACACCACAGCAACCAGCTACAACACCCTAGCAACCATCTAGAGCCAGTGGCGGCTCGTCAGGGGAGGCACAGCCTACGCAAAATTTTGAGGTGTAAAAATAGTAATAGTAGCTTACAATTTAATGTTAATGAAATCTCCAAATAATATTTAATGTCTTCATAATGTGTATTTCTTAATTGTAATTTCACCATTGCAAACAATAAAATATTACTTAAGTCGGAATCCCCTGTGTTTTACCGCTGCTGTATTCCCAGTGAACGTCTCTGTGGATAGAGAAGGGGAGGGGGGAAGCACAATCCAAAAATGGAGATTCTGGCCTCCGTTGATAAAAAATTAACCAATCAGCATCGAGTATTTCTACATGTCAGCAGAGTGGCTCTATTTCTTAATGGCTTACAAAATTTACAGAGGAGGCTAGCCTCCCTTGGTTTATCAACCAATCACCGTTGAGACATCAATAACGTTGAAATATGCATGAACGACTCTGTGGCGCCTATAATGTAGTAAATATGGAGGGACGAGATATTGAATATTTTAGCGCAAATACATTTACAAAGCTCCCTTTTGAGCAGCAGCTAAAAATAAAAAATGAAGGAAGACCCACGCCTAATCTGGACATAAAACAATCTTCCATTATGCGGCCGAACACGCTGTTTTAGAAACGAATTATTTAGCAAAACCGAGTGGCTAACAGGCTCAGTGAACTTGAACAAACTCTTCTGCTGGCCTTGTCTGCTATTTGACGAATCAACTGGAGGATTCAATCCATGGATTACGACTGGTTTCAACGATATGAAGAATTTAGCAAGAGCTATGGAAAGACATGCAAAGTCTCGGAGCCACATATCTTCCGCTCTTAAGCTTCAGTTGTTCGGGCGGGTAAGAATCGATGAGGCACTCAGCCAGGCCGCTGCCATTGGGGTACTGTGGCATAATGAGCAGGTGGCGAAAAACCGTGATCTTTTGCGCAAACTGATCATTGCGGTTCTATATTTGGGCCAACAAGAACACGCATTTCGTGGTCACGATGAGTCTGCTACAAGTAAAAACAAAGGGAATTTTGTACAACTTCTAGAAACCTTTTCAGAGTTTGACCCAGCACTTGCAGAGCATCTGAAAACATCCACCATTTTCAAAGGTACTTCAAAATCAATTCAAAATGACATAATTGACAGTATAGCCACTGTTGTAAATAATGCAATAGATCAAGAAATTCAGTCAACTGATTTCTTTGCCATACAAGCAGATGACACTACTGATGTCTCATGTAAATGCCAGCTGTCCGTCATTCTCCGTTATGTGAATGTCAGTGGCGCTATTTGTGAGAGATTTCTGGGTTTCCACGACGTTAGTGCCGACAGAGACGCCGAATCACTTTCTGAAGTGTTAATGAAAGTAATTCAGAAGTACAACCCAGAGGCCAAGTTAATTTGTCAAACATATGATGGCGCAAGTTGTATGAGTGGGCAGCGAGGGGGTGTGAGGGCCCGTGTCACTTTTTGTGCACTGTTACAGCCATAGGTTACATGGCTGTAACAGTGTTGGCGCAGGAGTTTAGTGTTGGCGCAGGGGACGAAGAATATTCAAGATGCCAAGATGTTTTTTGGACTGTTTCCACAATTTTTTCACTCTATCACCCAAAAGGACCGCTTTACTGACTGAGGCTGACAATTGAGTTCGAATTCCCGGAGGCACGGCTACTCCGTGAAACTTTAAAAGCCGCGCCGTGAATGCAGTATGTGAAGGCCACCAGAGTCTGAACATTGTCTTTGACCGAATCATGACGGAACCAGGCTGGGACTGCTCAGGCCATGGCACTCAAACAGAAATTGCAGGATTTCAACTTCATGTTTCTGCTTGATGTTTTCCGAGCAATTTTTGGACATACCGATGTTTTGTTCCAGGTTCTCCAAGCTAGATCGCTTGATTTGAGACGGTCGTTTGACTACATAGATTCGACCCTTAAATCACTGAAAGCACTTCGTACTGACAAAACTTTCCAAGAAGTGTATGACAACACTGTCCGTGCTGTTGGGCACGAGGATGGCCGAAGGAAGCTGCGCCGCCGTGGCTGGCGAGACTATGAGGAAGGATTTCACTGCAGCGAGCAGGGTGAAGATCCAAGCATCACTGACTCTTATCGATCTCTGTTCTATGAAATTATGGATGCAGTTATATGTCAGATGACAGAGAGATTTAGTGATATGAAAAGTCTGAATTTTTTTCGACTTCAGGACTTCTCAGCATTTGCGGATTTTGCTAAACCAAAGGGGTTTCCTGATGCAGAACTGGCCTCACTTTTAAAAGTGTACCCCTTCTTTGACAGTTGGAGGTTGAAAAATTAACTGCTTGTGGTCTATGAAGAGAAGCGTTTCCATAAAGAGTCGAGCGACTTGCTTCAGATGATCATACAGGACGATTTGCATAGCACCCTGCCAGAACTGTTCAGATTGCTTAAGTTGATGCTAACAATTCCTGTAACAACTGTGTCTGCTGAAAGTTCTTTCTCTGGCCTGAAGAGGGTGAAAACATATCTTCGCAGTAACTGTGGACAAGAAAGACTGTCACACTTGGCAACAATTTCTCTGGAGTCAGCCTTAATTGATGAATTAAAGACGACAGGTGTATTCTACGACAGAGTCATAGACACATTTGCCACTAAGAAGGACAGGAGGATGGATTTTTTCTTCAAGTAATAGGTAAGTACAATTTTAAATATATTGTTTTGCTGTATACGTACAATGTCGTTTTCCTACATAAACATAGCCAAAAGCAGGCTTTTATTAAGCAGTTAAAAAAAAAAACGCCTCAGGGAGGGGACTATAATTTAGTGTGCCTCCTATATTTTAATATCCACGAGCCGCCACTGCCTAGAGCAAACCACTCACTACATACCAACATGATAAGTAACACTCAAAACACTAATGCAATTGTAAAGCAACCACCTAGCAATGCCCTAAAACAAACCACTCAATACAAACCACCATCATAAAAAAAAACACTCAGAATACTATAGCAACCACATAGCAACACTGGCAACATAACAATGCCCTGGCAACCGAGTAGCGACTGTGTAACACTCTAAACTACTTAGAATACTCCAGCTAAAAACCTAGAAAAGCCTTAGAAACCAACCAGAATACGTAAACAACCACCTAACAACTATTTGGTTAACCAATTATGCTCAAAACACTCAGAACACCTTAGCAACACCCTAGCGACCACTAACAACACTCAAGCAACTACATAGCAATGTACTGAAACCACTAAGAACACCTGATCCACCATCCAGAACACCATAGCAATGTGAAACATTACTAAGATAACTTTAGTAACCGTATAGCAACATTTTAGCAAACACTCAGAACACCTTAGCAACTGCATAGCAATGCTCTAGAAACCACTCAGAATACCCCAGCAACCACCTAGAAATGCTTTAGCAACCAACCAGAACACGTAAAGAAACACCTAGCAACGCTCTAACAACTTCTTTGTTAACCTACATCGCCAAAAACACTCACAACACCCTAACAACCACATGACAATGCCCTGGCAACAGAGTAGCAACTATGTAACATGCTAAATCACTCAGAATACCCCAGCAACTACATAGAAACCAGCTAGAACACGTAACCAACAACCTTACAACGCCCTAACAACTTCTTTGTTAACTGACTGTGCTAAAAACACACACAACACCCTAGCAACCACATGACAATGCCATGGCAAAAAGATTAGCAACTGGGTAACACCCTAAACCACTCAAAAAAACACCCAAGCATTTTAATGGTGAGCTTTGCAAGCTAAGATAAAATATTTAAAGTTTCTTTATAATATATGAAAATTTAGTCTAAAGATAAAAAGCTAAGTATTTTTGATAAGAATGTTACACTGAGACGTACTGAGGTTCAGAATGGCTCACAGTAATATATTTGGGGGGAGTGAGCTGAGGGCCGGTAATCAGACAGACGGCTCTGAGAGCACACACTCATGCTCTCCACGCTGCACTGTAATTGAGGAAAGCGATGCAAGGGCAGGATCCTCTCCAAGCCGACGGCGACACGCACGCAACGCAGGTGACCCTGGACACGCCGTAAATTGGAGGAATGAATGAGGAGCGGCGGAGAAAACCCTTGGCCTCTCCGAAGCTGCACTCCCGCAAAATGACACCCACTTAATTTACGAGCAATAATGATTTTCAAAAGGTGGCGGTCCGGCACCCTCTCCCAGGAGGGTTATTGCAAATTGGACGTGATCCATCAAAACTGCAGCTTGTAAATCTATTTTTACAAACGGAGTATCATGGGGAGGTGAGAGAGGCGACTGCTTACTACGAATACGCAGCATAATTGATGTGCTGCCCCTGAGCTGGCGAGAGAGAAGGATGATGAAGATGTTACTGACAAAGATGTAGAAAGTCATATTTTAATTAAAATGATCACCGTGCCCCTGGCCTTTAGTCCACTTGGTAAAAAGAAAAAATCAACTTTTGTTTGCTGAAGGGCAGAGGCAATTACAAACCTGCCTGTATAATAAATCTCTTTTATGGGCTATGAGACCCCTGTAACCCTGTGGATTCATTATGATCTCGTACTGAAGGCCACGGCTCCCTGGACTTCCACCATTACCCATAATCACCTTCCTAAACACTCAGACAGGCAAAAAGAATAGCATTGAACCATCTCACACAGTCTCCTGTGTGTCTGTGCTTGCAATCGGCTGGAAGAAAGCTGGATTTATCAAAACTACGCAATGCAGCTAACACTCAGACTCAGTCATACCTACAGAAACTTTTTGTTTGTGGGGTTTAAAAGACAATTTATATTCAGCAACATTTCTTTAACTGCAACATTTTTTCAGCAATATTTTTTTAATCAGATGAGAACAAAATCTGAATTGAGCTGAATAATGACACTATGCAACATTGACAGTTATTGAATTGAACTAAATCAACACTGAACTACATTGATCTGAATAATGACACTATTGTGTTCTGTAGTTCTCCTTTACAGCTTAAATTGAATTTGTTTCATAATTGATGAATTTTACAACATTAACACTGTTATTTTGTGTATTCGAACTATAGACCTGTTTCAAAATGGCCTTTTCTCTCAAAACTGCTGGACAAAGCTATTCTCATTCAGCTGTTTTTTTTCATCTTCATTTTTAAAGGCTTTTAATTATGTCTTGTTAACTGTAGACACTGGGGATGCTGCAATTCTGGGGATAATAGCATTTGAGACTATAGACCATAAAATTCTTATTGCACAGCTTGAACGCTTGGTAGGGATTCGAGGTATTGTTTTAAATTGATGTAAGTCCTATTTAACTAATAAAAGTTTTACAGTTACCTTAGGTGAATTTGTATCATCTTCAGACCCTTTTACATGTGGGGTTCCACAAGGATCTATTTTGGGACCTATTATGTTTTCACTATATATATATATATATACTGTGTATGTTTGAAAGACTTAAAAACATGGTTGGTTGTGAATTTTTTGCATTTAAACAAATGTTGACTGTTGTGTTTGGAGCCTATAATGCATCAGGTCCCCTAATATGTATTTAGGCCCTTTGTCCATACATGGTCAATCTATGGTAAAAAAAAGAAAAAAGAAAAACTGAGGTGCACTTTTTGTTGACTTACTCAAATTTGACAAACAGATAAATTCTGTTGTCAGATCAAGCATTTATTTTTTAATTAAGAAAACTGGCAAACGTCAACTTTTGAGATTTTGAGAGAGTGATGCATGTTTTATTCCTGAGAAAATTATTTTTTTCTACAGAAAGGGGTCCAGCAGAAAATGTTTGGGAACCACTTTCCTAAAGGAATTATGAAAATTATTTGGAATTATTCGGAATGCAACTAGTAATTTCTCATCTATTCCACTTCATTGGCGAAGAAAGTTTTTGAAATAATCAGTACTTCAGGACAGAAATGCTGTTTACGAAGTCCACACACATTTCCACTCATTTCTTATGTTTTCTTTGAAGCCGTTTGTTTGTCCCTGCTGGTCTACTGCTGTGATTTTTGATAAGCCTGCCTCTAAGTGGAATGTAAAAACAATAAGTCTGGCTGCAAGAAACTGTTCAAAGCCTCCCCACAAAATCCGGATTCGATTTATAAAGAATTTTCCTCCATTGTTTACTAATAAAAAAAAGAGTACTGGGACTATAGGACTGTTGTGTACAGGACTGCTGTGCAGTTGGAATGTCAATCTATGTAAAAGGGTTTATCAGCATTAAACATATTTCGTAATCTCATGACTGAATAAGAGTGTGAGGTGTGTGTGAGCACCTCTCCGGTCTGTCTGCGTGAGCGGCGCGGGATGTGGACAGGCTTCAGGCCCTGCGTCAGCTGTGTCATAGAGGTCAGTCCTCCTCTGCCGAACAGGATGATGCCGTTTTCACTCTTCGTGCTGAAGGAGAGAGAGATCTCTGAGCCTACGTCAAACGACACAGGTTTCAGCTCCATGTACCCAGGCCTGGAGAAGCTCACGGTGTGCAGGTTCTGACAGACAGAGAAAGCCAGCGTTTAGTTTGGAGTTTCAACAAAAATCCTACTGTGGCTCATCAGCTGATGGCATCAGACTGGTCATGGGTGTTTCTTCAACTATGGCAACTGTCCTGGAAACTTTGTATCATGCCTTTTTTGTTTTTACTTTTCAAATGGCTTTATGTACTGCATCTAAAAGTTGCACCAGGTCAAAACTGCATTGTTGAGACAAAAAAACAAACAAAAAACAGCTGTGTCAAAGTATAAGTCACATATTTATCAGTAAATAAAACGAAACATTTACAAACATTCTAAACACTATAAACTTATTTTAGTTCCTCTCACTCCACAACAAATTCTTTAAATTTAACGCAGAACAAGAATAAACAAATACTGAATTACTGGCATGTGGAAAATGTGCTATACAAACACAAGCACGAACTGTGTTAAAGCTGAATGTGAGGAGAGAAATTGAAACCTGAAAACTGAAAACTGAAACTCATGACATAAAACATTTCTTTATGAGACAAAGACCAGTCATTTCTAATTCACCAACAACTGACTTGTTGCCTTGAATGATATTTACTGAATTCGAAAAAAAAAGATCATTGATGATTTCTATTGTTTCGACATGTACAAATATCTGATCTACAGCATTTTTCAACTTTACCACAATAAAGGTTGCAAATATAGGGATTAAAAGTGGACAAAAATAGAAAAATAAATGTTTATAGCCTATAAATCCCCTGCAAAAAAAGACAAAGGGTGAGGATTTGGGAAGAGAAACAAGATATTCCATGTGCTATTGTTACAAAAATAGTGTAATGTAGAAATGTCATTTTTTTGTAAAATGATACTAAATATCAGAATTTAACACACAGTGATCAATGATGATTCACTGTAGGAAATGGTTAATGGACAACGTTACTAATGTACAACTCATGATATAGTATGGTACTCTTTTGTATTGATAATCATAATTCAACCTATCAGCACTGTAAGCCTCAACAGTACCAGAGTTAAAGCTTCCTGTTCAAGACAAACTACTCAACACATATGCATTTGTGTTAAGGAGATGAGGATTCAGAAGTCAGAAGAATAAAAACATTTATTAAAGATGATATGAGCAGACCAGGTGTCAACAAGGGATCTTTCTATAGTGTTTTTCTATTAACAGTGTATGAGTAAATTAAGGTCTTTTGGCCTGATCTTCATATTTGGTTTTAGAACATAAATTACACACCTTAAATTTGAATTCTGAATCTGGAAACTACAGGTCATCTTTTAATCTCACCCTCATTTTATTAACCTGTTATGACTGACTTTCTTCTGTGGAACATATTCTAAAAAACGGGGTTCTAACAACATTGGACCCCATTGACTGTCATTGTACGGACAAAATAAATAAATAAAAATAATTTACAAATATTTTCTTTTGTGTAGAACACAAAAGGTAAAATCATACAGGTTACAACAACATGAGGGTGAGTAAACGATGACAGATTTGTTAATTTTGGGTGAACTATCCCTTTAAGTAATATTAACACAGTTTTTTTTTTAACTCATACGTTGAAAACTGTGATTCTAAAAACCCAGAGAAAAATTCAGAGGGAACCGACGGCTCAGAAATGCTAATTCTCTTCTGATTTCAGGACTAAACACTCTCTTGTCTCTTGACTTGTCCCTTTAAAAGAGAGAGTGCTTGTGGAGAAATATTTAAATTGAGCAAATGTTGCCTTTAGTCAAGAGAGAGGATAACAAAGACAGGCAGGTGTTGTCTTACTGTACCTCAATGGAGCAGCCTTTGATCAGTCCTGTGTAGTCTGGGCTGCTCAGCAGATTGTACGGCGTTCGGGAAACTTCAATGTCTTTCATACAGCCAGAGAACCTCTTCAAAACCACCTCTGACCTGAGGAAAAGCAGACGTCAAGTCAAGTCACCTTTATTTATCCAGCGCTGGTTATACAATACTGGTTGTGTCAAAGCAGCTTTACAGAGTCAAACAGAACAAAATAGTTTGTCAATGATGCGAGAAGACAATAACAGAGTCAGACGTGAGATTAAATACAGGAGGAATTCATCTAATACCATCAGAAGCCTATCTTTGAATACACATTTGCACACCTGTAGTTTCCAGTCTTGGGTACACCGCCAAAATACATCCTCTCATCCTCCCTCAGGTTGAGGCCTGTAGCTCCACCTGGAGACGCCGTCCGCAACTGCTCGTCCTCATTAGTATCGATGTTCACTATGGCGATGATTGCTAAGCAAACGTAAAAGAGACAGTGTGATCACAGAGAGTCAGAGAGTAAAGACCCAGTCCCAGACAAGTGAAACACTGTGATGCTTTCAAAACATCGACACAGCAGCACTCGCTCAACCAGATCTGTTTGTTTGACCATTAACTAAAGCAGATTTCACACTGGCAGTTTAGTTCGAAACAAAGCACAGTTTGCATGAAAAACTGTTCATGTAAATGCTGTGAGTTCAATTGCAATGGAACTGTAGTGCGATTTGTGTGAATGTGAAAGCAACTGTAACTGGAGTCGATCCGCACTTGTTCAGGAAGTCAAGTAACATGCATACATGTTTTATTTGATGACTACGTCGATAGTTAGAGAATACAAGCAAGAGTGAGCCTGCGATTGTGCAGTGTAATTGTGCAATGAATGCAAACAGATCGAGAAAAAAAAAAAAAAAAAGGAGTCCGTCTGCAAACAGCAAAAAGACACTGTTATGAGACGCGCATACATTAGACTCAAATGTCATTCACTCTGATGTGCATAATAGCATTAATAAAAAAATATATATATTGACTGGCATGGTTTTGTATCATGCGCAGTGCATGTTTGTGATGAAATAAAACCTCCTAAATTAGGATGGTGCAAAATATGAATGTACATTTGTATAATTCTACATCTCCTTTGACATTAGGTGTTATTGCTAACTAAAACAAAAGCTATTCAAATATATTTCATTAACAATTGAAATAAAGCCGAAATAAAATATATATATATTTTTGTATTATTTGGCAACTAACTGAAATCAAATAAGTAATAAAATTACTAAAACTAACAATGAAATAAAAATGAATTATAAAAAATAAAAATGACAAAAGCACAAAACAAAATTACTAATCCTACCATGAAAAAATATAAAAATAAAAGCTAAAATGTTAATAAATTCTATAATAGTACATAAATAGTAGTGAAATGACACTTATTTGTGCTGACCCATTAAATTTGCCTCGAATTCTGAATCAACAGCATTCGGCATCACTGAGCTCACATGGCACATCTGAATACATGCGTCTACTGTAAGAGCTGTGACCGGGTCATGATCTTCAGTCGATAAAATAATACGTTTAATTTTGGCACGCTCATCATATGACTTCAGTAGAGTTTAAATACATTGCACATGTTACAAAAGCCTGCAAAAGACCAATGTGAACACAGCATGAGGGTGGGTAAGTATCGGATATTCATTTTTCCGACCCTTTCTAGACACATCTCGAGATCGGCTTGGCACACTGCTGAAGGTGAGCTGCTCTGTTCTCATATCTGTACCTTCTTTCTTCATGCGGGACATGGTGAACGACTTCCCTTTGCCGTCATTATAGCGTTTGTCACTGATGATGGAGCCGGTGCCGGAGCCCAGATCATAACTCACTTTCACCCTCCCATCCCTCAGCTCTGCACTCATGAAGTCTTTCTGCTCAGACAGACAGACAGAGCACAGATATATCCAGCAGAACGCATGTAGATACTGTAAAATATGGTGTAGGTGTGTGCGGGCTGTTACCATGTCCTTGGTGGTGAAGTACATCATGAGCGCGTCTGTGGAGAACGTGCGGAACTTGAACATGACCGTGGAAACGTTTGGGTTCCATCGGGTGGGTCGGCTGACGGCGGCGTAACCCTCTCCGTCGAACTGAACCGTGCCTTCAGTATCCGCCGGCTGAGGACTACACACACACACAGCATTACACTGAGATCCTCACACTCTTACACTGAACTCACAGCTGTGTGTGTGTGTGTGTGTGTGTGCTCACCTGACCATACAACCAGCACAATCCCCGTCTCTCTCTCTGTAGTTCCAGAGGCCGATGGGTTTTCCATCTAGAGACGTCTCTCCCATACAGCCCGAGAACGTGGTGGTTTTCACAGCATCTGCTTTCTACACACACAAACACACACACACACACACACACACACACACACAAACACACACACACACACACACACA